GGCTGAGCCACACAGGGGCTGGGACAGTGAAGCTGAACCCAGAGGGTCCCTGAAACAACCTTGGGGACCTTAGGCCACCTCCACATCCAATGGGGGTACTGGTAGGGGGCTGGAGAAGGAGAGGAGGCGCAGGATGATTAACTGGACATTCCCCTCAGTGCCCAAGGGGGACAGCCCTGGAGAAGAATGGTTGTCAAGGGCAACACATTCTTCTCTGCAGGTAACTGGTTCTTCACCCACAGGGAGTGGGGTTTGAGCAGAAAAGGAACTTAAAGACCTTCTGGGTTGAATTCTCATTTTACAGAGGAGAAACTGAGGCCAGGGGAGATAGGAAGGGGTGCCTTGTGGGGCACAGACGGCAAATGAGGAACCTGTCTGGTTCCCGGGGTTATGTCCTCAGGAGTCAGGGACATCCAGGCTGGAACAAGGAAGGGGCTGGAAGGGAGGTGCAAGGGCCGGGCAGGCTGCAGTGACTTCCAGCTTCTCTAGGTCCTCGGGGAGATCCAGAAGGAGCAGACCAAGGCCAGGGCCAGGGAGCGGGCAGGCAAGTCTATCACCCTAGGCCACGTCCAGTTCCACATCTTGGTATTTGGTTCCTTCTGCCTGGAAAGCCCTGGCCTTCTTCTTTGTCTGTTGGCTCCCAATTCAACAAAGTCTCCAACACCAACACCCAGCCTGTGCACTCCACCTCGGTGGATGCCTGGGCTTTCAGCATAATGGAGGGTGTGTTGACCACCACAAAATGCTGCAGACTGGGCAGCTTAAACAGCACTGTGTCCTTGGCATTCTGGAGGCCGCAAGTCCCAGGTGAAGGTCTCTGCACAGCTGGGTCCTCCTGGGCCACCTTGTCTTTCCCCTGTGCATGAGTGTCCTGGGGTCCCTGTGTCTCTGTGTCCTCTCTTTAAGCTCCATCCCTGTGTAGTCACAGCTGAGGTGCAGCATGGGAATCTGGAGGGGACACAGCTCAGTATGTACACAAAGGTGAACCTCCCCGCCCACTTAGAGAGCAAGAACAGGGGCTGGATCTGAGCCCCTGGTGAAGACCTGGGCTGGGTCCTGGCCAGCATTCTGCTCAGCAGTGGGTGCTGGGGTGGGGATGAAGAGTGAGCAGTAAGGTCCCCCTGCTCCTGGGTCCTGCTGACCCCTGGAGAAGGTGGCACTGCCTGCACTCCACTGAGGCTGGTTGGCTTCCAGGCTTCTGAGCACAAGGACAGCTGTGGCTCCAGGGAGGCAGTGGGCTGAGCTGTCAGAGCCACTCTGCCATCCAGCTCTGTCCCATGAGCTCTGCAGAGTAGCCTATGTCCCACATCTGGGGAGGGGCTGGGGGCTCTAAGGTAACAGCAATGCAGTCAAGGTGATTGTTTTATCCTCTGAAATAACAAAAAGCATCTCAAAGAGCCAGGCATGGTGGCACACGCCTGTACTCCCAGCACTCTGGGAGGCTGAGGCAGGAGGATGATAAGTCTGAGCCCAGCCTGGGCAGCACGCTTGGGCCCAAGACCTTCCTTCCATGACAGCTGCCAGCGTGCAGCCAGGAGCCCCTTTAGTCACTGCACCGGTGCCAGACTGCAACAATCTAGACGGTGAATGTCCCTGGAGGATAAAGGCTTGGTCCCCAGTGGCACAATTGGGAAATGGTAGAACTTTGTACCTAAGATCCTGAGGTCACTAGGGGGTGCACACTTGACCAGGACTGCGGGGCTCCAGTCCACCCCGCCCCCGACTTTTGGTGGTGCTAGGAATTGAGCCCAGGGCTTTATCTCCTATCCTTTCTATTTTGAGACAGGGTCTTGCTAAGTCTTTAAGTTCCCCAGTCTGGGCTTGAACATGCTTCCACCGTGATGCTCTGTCTCACAAAGGCGAAAAGCAGTGAGCTCAACAGATCATGGCCTGGACTCTCCCCAGCCTCTTTGGCTTTCTCTCTGTAAGTTACCTTCTCTGCTATGTCACTACAGTGATGCAAAGGCATCTAACACAGACCAGAGACCGACCTGCTAGAGGGTCAGTTGGCCAGGACAGGACCCACCATGCCCAGCTCCCAGAGGTGTCTGGGCCAGCACCTCCCAGAGTGGGACTCAGGTCACTTGGCCTTGCTGCAAAGCAGTGGTCCCAGGAGTGGTCTTCAGGCCCGGCTGTCCAAGCTACCCAATCTCCTCCAAACCTAACCATGGAGTCAGTTCTTGTTGTTTGCAGCTGAGGACAAACATTTAGCATGGAGATTCCTGGGGCCTGGAGGCCGTGCCTCCTTCACAGTTGTTCAGTCGAAACCAACACCACCATACTGGACACTGGAGTGCAGCTCCGCCCAGTTACAAATGACTAAGAAATGCACCAGAATGAAGAAAAGGCATGAGTGGTAAAGCTAAGGAAGGTGGAAGACAGGGCTGCTGCTGCCTCTTCCCTCCTAAATTACGCTCAGGGGAAGAGCCAGCCAGAAAGTATTATGTATCCACTGGGGGCTGGCCCTGTGCAGACTCTGGGGTGCCCCACATCAGACATGGTTGGTCTCTGCCTTCTTGGACTTTTCAGTCTATTTGGGGAGATGGAAATAGACATGATTTCAGGAGCCAGGGGAGTAGCTAGCTCAGTGGTAGAGTGTGTGCTTAGTATGCATGAGGCCCTGGGCTCAGTTTTAAATGTCCAAATTCAGAAAGAAAAAAAAAAATCACACTAGAAAGGGAAAGTGCAGGACTTTAGGAGAGCTGAGGGAATGGACTACAGGACTCAAGTGGAGGAGGGTTCTATAGAAGGGAAAGCATGTGCCAAGGGCCTGTGGCATGAGAGGCTCATTGAGGGTCTAGGGGCTTGAATACAGGCAGGAAGGGGTGAATCATGGGCCTTCAAAACCCAGGTGGAGAATCTAGATTCTACCCTTGCGATAAGGAGTCCTTGAATGTTGTAAGCAGAGATGTAAAGGGGTCAGGACTCAGGAGCTCCGGACTCAGGAGGGAAATGGGTATGGGGCCAGGAATGGAAGTAGGAGTCCAGCGAGAGGGCAGCTGCTGAGCCCCAATGAGAGAGCAGAACGATATCTTGGAACCGCGGGTGATGAGAAGGTGTGGCGGTTCAGAGCAGGGAGGAGACAGAGTGGTGATGCCCAGGCCTGTCCCCACCTGCTGGTCTTCCGGATTCAGGCCCAATGAGTCAACACTCCACCCCACCAGCCCGCTGCTCTTTCTTTTTCACATTGAACTTGTTTTTAAGCATTGAGCTGTTAAGCCGCTTGTTCATGGGCCAGCGGATTTCAGGGCGCTCCCCCAGATATGCTACACCAGTCACTGAAAGGTATTTCGTGCTGCAGGCCTTGCCGTGTGCCCTGCCCAGAGCTGTCACAAGCCAGCGGGCTTGGCCGATGCTCCGCCTGCATGTGACACTGGGCTCCCCGATGTGGCCATGCCGGTGCTGCGCAGTGACCCTGGATTCTGGGACATCTTGGCCTGGTGGCCTGAACAACCCAGGGCAAAATAGCACAGTGGGACAGCCACAGAGGGAAGCCCCCTGCTGACCCAAGGCAGGCTCCCAGCTTCATAAAGGATTAGCCACTTGCTAATGTTTTAGCTGACACCACCAGCTGTTCATCTGATCCCCAGGAGCCCTGGCCCTGGGTGTCTCAGAAAGACAAAGTGGGGTGGTTGGTGTGGGCACTGTTGGAGCATAATGGGCTTCCATTCCACATTCAGACCCCTGCTTGTGTCAGAAACCTGCGTGCCTGTCATCCCAGCCCTTCCGGAGACTGAGGCAGGAGAACTGTACGTTTGAGCCAAGCCTGAGCAACTTATCAAAACTCTATTTTAAAATAAATAAGGCTCTGGGGATGTAGCTCAATGTGAAAGCCCTGGGTTCAATTAAGAAAAAAAAGAAGAAGAAGAAGGAAAGCAGGAAGGAAAGGAGAAAGAGAACAGATCCAGGTGTGGCCTCCTAGCTCCTGCTCCTCTCCTGATTCCCGGCCACTGAACACTCCTGGGGCCCATCCCTTCCGCTTCAGTGCCCTTACTCTGCTGGTGGGCTGGGACAGTTACACCTGGTCTGACCACCTCTCCTCCCTTGTTCTTCTCCCCTTAACCTCCAGGTGCCCTTCAAGACTGCTGGGAAATTGCCCCAGGGAAGCCCCCTTTGATCCTCGGTAGGGTGGTGAACTGCTTCTCCCTGGCCTCTGGGCTGTAATTCAATTGTCACTCTTTGGTGTTGCTATGTCGGTTTGGTGATGGATTCCCTGGTCAGGCCCCAGGTGAGCCTAAGGAGGGAGGGTCTTCCGGCTCCCTGGGGGAAGGGGGAGGCCGGGCCAACTGGATCTGCGGAGGCTGGCACAGAAAACAAGCACGGGGGACCCAGGATGCGAAGTCTGTGGCCAGTCCAGCTCCAAGCTGACCCTTGGGCCTGGGGAGGATCTGCTCATGTCTGCTTTGCAAACATCTCTGTCTTCCTGTCACACCCTCCAGGGCCAGTCCAGTGTGGGAGGGGCTCTGCCATCCAACTCTCTCCCAACGCCCAGGCCCAGCTCCTTAGTAGCAGGATTTGTGGCTTGGGAGCCTGAGGTCGGGGGTGCAGGGAGGATGGAGGAGCTGACTTTCCCTTCAAGCGGGTGCCTGGAGGAATTCGCACTGTACACAGTGCGGCTGTCTGGCCCTAAAATTCGAGAGGGAGGTCCTCTGTGGCTTAGGTGAGGGGCCACCCCAAAGCACAAGCAGGGACGACAATCAAGGGGCGGGCTTGGCAGCCAGGGGACACACGACTCTAGCACGGAGGAGGAGCAGACCACATTTATTCACCTCCAGAGGGCAAGCACGGTTGCCCAGGGGACACGGGATGGCTGACTAGACAAAGCGTGCCCGCGAACCCTTGCCGGAGCCCCAGTTTCTCTACCACAGCCGCTGCGCAATCTGAGCGGAGCACAGCAGGGCCTCAGGCAGGGGTGGGGCTGTGGGCGGGAGCGCACCTGTGCATCTCCCTGCGGCGGTCCAGCCTCGGTGCACTGGCGCCCTCGTCTGGCAATGCGGAAACTACTGGCTTTGAGGACAGGACTTCTGGGGTCTGCAGTGAGATCCTTCCAGGGATTGGGGTCTCTTGACTCCCAGAGAGCTCACTGTGACGAGCCAGAAAGAAAGTTAACAGTCTAAGGTGTGAGACCCACAACCTTACAAGGTCACGTTTGGACACGTGGTTGAGATCCGGAGCAGGAAGACCCCAAGCTCAGGACCAGCTCTGCTTGAGCCCCCACATCTAACACTATGCGCAGCACCCAGCAGGTGCTCAGCAAGGGATGCGAGTGAGCAGAGGAGTGCATGGGCTTGGAGGTGGTGGCTGGAACCCGTGCCTGACCCTCTAGCCTGAGTCCCTTCTCAGGAAGAGCCAGTGTCCAGGGACAATGGAGATGCCCTAAAGTCTGCATCTGAGCCCCAGCTTTCGGATGGAATGAAGGTGGCTCAGGCTTCATAGGCCCCAGGATGGGCCCTGTCCTATCCATACACACTGCGTGCCTGGTAGCTGCTGGCCCTGAAGTGAGTGTGCGTCTCTGTGACCTAGGAGATGAGGCACCCCAAAGGCACAAACGGGGATAGCAGCCAAGGGGTCATCTCAGGGCCTGTTTCCTCCCTGTGATCTAAAGTTCCTGGTCAGGGAGGCTGGTGGGTCCATCTGCTTCCAGATTCACCCCCAGGAGGGCTGGCAGGATAGGGGTGAGGACAGGGGTGGGACTGGACTCAAAGCCTGACCATGGCCTCTCCCCGGTTCACTAACAGACACCTGGGGAGGAGCAGCTGGGGAGAATTCCAGGCAGTCGGGGTACCCTGGGGGGAGGCCTGGGGCACAGAGGCCAGGCTAAGGGCTGAGGCTCGGGAGGGGGTCCAGGCCGGGCTCACATCCCACAGGCAGTGTGGCAGCCTCGCTGGGCGGGATGTGGTGGGTCACATAATGCTTCCCCATGAAGGAGCCGATCCGAAGCTGCTCAGGGACCTCCTCTGGCCACCACAGGCTGGAGCTGGGCAGGAGAGGAGAGGAAGCAGTGCTGTGCCCCTGGCTGGTAGAGGCTGCTCCCCTGTGGAGCATCCTCACCCTGCAGCCTCCGCTCCTACCTTCCCACCTCCCCCAGGCACCACCCTGATGAGCAGCCCCATACCAGCTCCCCAAACTCCCTGGGGCTCATGGAGAAGAACCAAGGCCCAGAAGAAGGGCCTGGCAGCCAACACGGGGAAGGACAAGGCCAGAGTGAGATGGCCACTCCTGACCTTAGATCTCTTCCCAGCCTCCCACGTGAGAAGGGGCCTGGTCCAGCTCAGAACCATGCTAAGGGGAGGCTTCCAGCACCTGGGACAGTGACAGGAGGGGCCCCAGGTGACACCACTCACAAGCGCAAGGTGGAGGCTGCCAGGAAGGCCAGGAGCAGGAGGCAGGCCAGGGACAAGAGGATGGAGGTGATGACGATCATGCAGCCGCTCCTCCGCCCTGGCCACGTGTCGATGGAGCCCGGGGCCTTCCCTGCAGAGGCGGGCAGCTCAGAGGTGCCCTCTCATCCCCAGGCTGGCTGTCCCTTCCTTCCCTCTCCATCCACACTCAGGCCTCAAGGCTTGGCTGCCCCGGGGGCCCTGACAGCCTCCTGGGCTCGTCCCTGTTCATCTCAGTCCAGCCTGCAGCTCCCATTGCTGCAGCCTCCACTCACCTTCTAGACCAGTTGTCCCCAACATTTTGGACACCAGGGACCGATTTCATGGAAAATAATTTTCCCCCAGATGGGGGGTTGGGTGTGGGAGCCGTTTCTGGATAATTCGAGTGCATCACATTTATTATGCACTTAATTTCTATTAGCATTACAGTAGATTCTCATAGGGAGCCTGGACCCTACATCCCATGCATGTGCAGTTCAGAACAGGTGCGCGGGGTGCTCCTAGAAGCCAAGGCCCAGCTGAGCCGACAAGAAGCAGAGCTCAGGTGGAGATAAGAGGCTGGGAACAACTGAAGCTTCGCTTTCCCCAACCTCCTTCTGTGTAGCCAGTTCCTAAGGAGAGTACTGGTCCAAGGCCATGGGGTTTGGGGACCCCTGTTCCAGATCATTCCCACCCACAGCCCACCACTACTTCACATGCAGCACCAGAGAAGCTGCAGACCTGGAGAATGACCGTGTCACCACCCTGCTCCCCAGAGCCTGGCATTTAAGGCCTTCAGATGGCATGACACCCACCCAACCATCTTGGCAAACCCAGGCAACTCCCACCCCTGACCCATGAGAAAGCGGAGGCTATTTCCGCCCAGGGCTGGAAGCCTGGACACCCTAGGGTTGGCAAATGCTCAGGGAGGAAGAGAGAGGTGTCTGCCGACGGGGCTGGGCCAGGTCCTGTAGGGTGAGTGCCCCAACCCCAGCCCTACCTTGGCAGAGGGTAATGGGGTCTGACCACTTGGTCTCAGCCTTGGGAGAGCCACTGACGTCCATCACAAGGAACTTCACGCTGGGGACAGGAGGCAGTGGGGGAGCACGGCTGAGACGCAGGCCTCGCCTGGCTTAGGCAGGGTGCCCCCAACCCTGGCCGGGAGAACCCAAGGAGGCCTCTTTGGTGGTGTGGCTGCACTGGTAGCCCCCGTCCATCTGGGCAGTTGCTCTGCAGTCAGCTGTCCAGGCCAGGCTGTGACGGGCACCCCCGGCAGGGTGTACAGGGCTGGGTGTCCCTGGCCTCCTGGAGGACTGGAGGGCTGGCCTGTAGAGTTGAGTGAAGGCCTCTAAACAGGGACCCTTCAGAAAAGGCTCAGGAGTGAGGAAGGGCACGGTCAGTCAGTTCCTGGGTATCACAGTGTAGTATCAAGCAGTGAGAGAGAGCTCTGGAATGTGTGCAGTGGGGGCCAAGCAGGTTGCCACGCTCAGAATGGGAGCAGGGGTGAGGTTGGAGGCCTGGTGGGGTGTGGCTGAGGGCGGGTGAGAGGGCAGAGGAGGCTAGGGGGATGAGGCTCAGTTCCCGCCTTTCAGGCCCTGACTTCCCCACTCCTTCCCGGCTTCTCCAAACTGGGTATCCCCCATCTAGACACTGAGGAGACACCTGCTTTCCAGTTCCAGCCCGACCCCAACCTCAGCAGGACACTTGGCACTCTATGCCTCAGTTTCTTCATCTGTAAAAGGGGGTGGAAAGCATGTTGCAGTAACGAATGCCCTATAATCTCAGTACTCTGGGAGGCTGAGGCAGGTTAGCAAATTTGAGCTCAGCCTGGACAACTTAGCAAGAACTTGTCTCTAAAAAGAAAAAAAGGATGGGGATGTAGCTCGTTGGAAGGGCCTGAGTTCAATCCCCACTATGGGGAGGAAGCCATCTCTCGGGCATGATCTGCCCATTAGAGGGACCAGTGGCCTCAGCCCTGTAGCTGTCCCCTCCACCCTTGACTGAGATCCCAGGGCCTACCCTCAGGAGCCTCTGGAAAGGCTTCTTTCTGGCTGCCCAGAAGGGTACCGTGGTCTCACCTTACAGAGGGAGCAAACTAAGGCCATGAAGGGATGGGGTGGGGCTGCCCCAGCACAGCTGAAGCTCAGGGTGGTGGTGGCAGCTGAGATGACCCACCTGTAGGGCCCTGGGCTGGGGAGGGGAGCATTGCAGTAGGGTTGTTGTTGGCAGCTGAAGTCACTGCCCACTCGCAGCAAGCGGATGCCTCCTCTGCCACCCTGCGGGTCCTCACAGGGCAGCTGGTCCGGGGACAAGGGCAGTGTCATGTAGTGGCCATCGGTCAGCAGCTGTGGGGAGGTGGGGACCTCAGCCAAGGTCCGTGGGTTCTGGAAGTCCCTGGAGGCTGCAGGGCAGAGGGACAGACAGATAGTGACAGGGGAGACAGGCCTTGTCCCAGTGACAAGCAGGCTGCATTCACCAGCCCTGGGCACCCCTAATCACAGCCTCCAGCTCTGACCCCCACGCCACCCCCTCATCATGTCCAGAGACAGCAGGCTCTGCCACCTCCTCAGAGTCCACTAGGATAAAAGCCCTCATCCTTGTCCGCACCCACCCTCCAGGGGCTCCCAGCTGGCACCTCACAACTGCAGGTGCTGGCGAGGGGCTCCCCCTGGGCCCTTGCCCCTGCCCCAGGCCCTAGACCCACACCACACACCATTGCTGAAGGCCACCACCAGCCAGATGGTGTCATTGGCACCCGCATGCCCATCAAAGATACAGGTAGGCTGCTCCAGGGAGAATGTGGTGGCCGTGACCCTCCCTTCCAGGTCCCAGGCTGTGATCTGTGGCGTGTAGAGGACCAACTCTGTGGCCATAGGGGACAAAAGTGAGCAGTGAAGGTCAGCATGAGGGCCCTGGGGGTCCTTGCCCCTGGGATGGTCTGTTCCGATTCAGGGGCTCCCAGGGCCCAATCCCTGCAGCAGGGGCCCCACTCCTCCGTTCCTCCCAGGACCCCAACTCACCCAGGCACAAGCTGAGCTGCAGCCACGGCAGCACCCAGAGGAGCAGCAGCCCAGGGTGAGGCTGCCTCCAGAGGAGCCCCATTACCGCTGCAGGCTGAGTGCCTGAAGCTGAGGCTGGTCTGCCTCCCTCTGGCCGCACCCCGCCCCATCCCCTTGGCCTGGAGGAGCTGGTTTGTCAGGCCGCCAGAAAGGGCTGGAAAGACCTGTGCAAGCACAAGCATCCGACTCTTCCCTGAGGCCAAGCACAGCACTGAGGGGGCTGGGTGGGATCTGGTGTGGGCGGGCCAGTGCCAAGGCTGAGGGAGAGGTGCCCCAGGGCCCCCAGATGACTGTCAGGCCACCCGACTCCAGTCTGGAGGGGCCCCACCCAGCCTCTTGGGCGGGGGAGGAGGGCCTGGTGAGAACCTGGGCTCCAGGCCAAGTGCCTGGGATTCCTGCGCCCCAGGTGCCTGGAGCTTCCTTCTGGTGTCCACCCAACCCAGAGAGGATGGGGGACAGAGGGTGGGGCCGCCCCAACCTGCCTGCTCCAGCTCCAGGGCCCAGCCTCAGTTTCCTGTCCACTGGAAGATCCCAGATGCGGGAAAAGCACTGCAGAGCCCTCCGCTTATCCAAGCCCCTTAGGTATTTTTTAGCTGTAAATCATACACTGTAAAACCCACAGCTCAGATTTGTCAGGCGCCCAGGGCTGTGCAGTCCTCACCACTCATTCCAGAGCTTTTTCGTTACCCCTGGAGCAAAAACTATCCCTTCGAAGGTCCCTCCCTTCCCCTTCCCTCAACCAGGCTCCTCTCTGACCTCCAGAAGGTCCCTCCCTTCCCCTTCCCTCAACCAGGCTCCTCTCTGACCTCCAGGGATTCACTGCAATGGGCTTCAGCCACGGGATCACCGAGCCCGCGCTGTCTGCCTCTGGCTTCTTTCAGCACTTGGCAGCCTGCAGTGATGTTTTGTTCCTTTTTAAGGCTGAGTAATGATCCATCACACAGCACATTTTATTGATTCATCGGATGGGTGTTTGGGTCTTTCCACTTAGGCTGTGGCGATCACAAGGCAGCACACACTTGCATGTGCTTGTCTCTGTGGCCACGTCCTCATAAAATCGCCCTCATAAAATCCTGGAAGTGGATTTGCCCACATGGTCACCCCGCACTTGGGGAACTGCTTGTTCCCCACAGCAGCTGCACACGCCCACCAGATGGGACCAGGGTGTGATTTCTCCACATCCTCCTGAGGCTGCCGGTTTTACCTTATGGTTTTGATTTGCATTTTTCTTTGTTTTTGGTATCCAGCACTTAACTCAGGACCTTAAACATCATTTGATGTATTCAGTTGTCTATGGAGGTACGTGGCCCTTGCTCCTGGTCTTTTTGGTAGTGAAGGGACGGAACCCCAGGCAAATACTCTACCTGAGCTGCCCCCCCACCCCATTGGAGATTGAACCCAGGGCCTTTGCACTGAGTCACCTTCCCAGCCCTTTATTAGATTTTTTAAAAAAATTCTTTTATTGGTACTGGGGATCGAATTCACGATCTTGCTTGCAAGACTGGTATGATGCCACTGTGCTAAATCCCTGGGCCTAGGTTTTATTTTGATAGGGAATTATTAAACTGCTGAGGCTGGCCTTGAATTTGTGACCCTCCTGCCTCAGCCTCCTAGAATGCTGAGGAGTATGCATATTCATGACTTTTTTTTTTTTTTTTTGAGGTATAGTCCAGGCTGGCCTCAAACTTGAGTGATCCTTCTGCTTCAGCCTCCCAAGTGCTGAGATCATGTGTAACATTTTTTGTTTTGTTGAATTTTGAGTTCACATTCTGGATATTAGCAGGTATAGGATTTGCAAATATTTTCTGTATCCCAATTCTTGGTGTCTGTCAGTAGTGAGCACCAAAGGTCTGGAGAAGCTGTGAGGGCAGCAGTATTTAGGGTCCCCGAGGCCCATGCCAATGCCATGTGTGACGAGTCTTAAATGTGGAACCAAACAGTTCTGGGGCCCAGACGAGATGGGCATCTCTGTTGAAGCTTCACTGTTCTTTCCTCAACTTACCTGTGAGGCAAAGGCTCAGACACACACTAGGAGGCCATGATAATTTGTTTTGTTTAAGATAGGGTCTCTCTGGGCCAAGGATTTGGCTCAGTGGTTCCGGCGACTGCCTCGCAAGTGCAAGGACCCAAGTTTGATCCCCGGTACCAAACAAAACAAACAAAAGATAGGGTCTCCCTGTGTAATTTAGGCAGGCCTTGAACTCACAGTGATCTTCCTACCTCAGCCTCCTGAGTGCTGCAATTGCAGGAATGTACCATCACACCCAAGAAAAATGAATTTTGTAGTACATGCCTCCATTTTGGGAGGCTGAGGAAGGAGGATCACAAGTTCAAGGCCAGCCTGGGCAACTTAGTAACTTTAGTGAGACCTTAAAAAAAAAAAAAAAAAAAAAAGCTGAGCGTGGTGGTGCATGCCTGTAATCCCAGCACTTGGGAGGCTGAGGCAGGAGGATCGCTGTGAGTTCGAGACCAGACTGGGCTACATAGTCAGTTCCAGGTCAACTATACAGTGAGACTCTGTTTCAAAAAGCCAAAAAAAAAAAAAAAGGGTAGGGCAGTGATGGCAAAACTTTTAGAGCTTTCAGTGATACAAACACATGGCTAACGCATGCGTTCTATAGGTTTGCCACCATCAGCCTAGGGATATACCTCAGTGTGAAGGCCCTGGGTTCAATCCTCAATATAAAAAAATACAAAAAAAAAGCCCAGGGATGTAGCTTAGTGGCACTGCGCCTGCCTGACAAGCACAAAGTCCTGAATTCCATCTCTGCTTCCACCAAAAAAAAAAAAAAGTAAAAGTTGAAGAAAATGCTCTAAGTACTATTTCTTTTTTTTGGTACCCCGGGGTCAAACTCAGGTCCTTGTGCTTGCATGGTAGGCAGCCAAACCGCTGAGCTAAATCCCCAGCCCTCTAAGTACTATTATATTCTTTGTACTAATGTGTTGTGAAACAGAACTTGATGTTTTTTGCAGAGAAAGGAGCTCACAATGACACAAGTGCCTCTGGCCCAGGACAGTCAGAATGTAGCCTGTGGATCCTTCCAGCCCTGGGCCAGCAGCAAGGGCATGACTGGGGGTGTCTGCTCCTCCTGAGGTCAAGAATTGGCGTGTGGGTTGAGGACAGCCTGAGACCATCTCCGGCCCAGTCCCAGCTGGCCCTACCACCTGATTAGCACTGCACCTTTGAACCTGTTTCTCTTCTGTGTCATGAACACACAGCAGGGGAGGATGTGTGCAGGCCAGGGAAGCCATCTGTGGTCTGGCTCTTCCTTCACCAGGCCTGTGCTCAGGGGTCAGATCTCACACACGTGTGTGTGCACACGCCTGCTATCCACTGACACACACACCAGGCCTGCACACTTTGGCTATAGGGCCTTTATTGCAAACAAAATGTGAGGTATGAGAAGCGGACCCAGGGCCTGTGCCTGCCTGGCTGGGAAAGACCGGCCCCTCTCCCGCCAGGTCTGGTGCTGAGGCCCAGAGCAGCCTTGAGGACATGGCTGTCCCTGCATGAGGTAGCTGTATTGTTAGCCCCCCAAGTCCACCTCCCAGGGCTGCCCAGCACCCACACAGACACCTGCCTGTGGGGAGCAGGACAGGTGGGCAGAGCTGGCTTTAGGAGCCACCCCTCAACCTGCATTCTAGCCTCTCAGGAAAGGCACCTTCCTGCCAGGGACAGCCTTGGGGCCAGCATGGCTGTCAGAGGCAGGCCTGGTAGGGCTGTGGTCACTGCTGCTCCAGGCAGTCCTCAGTCACTCCCTGCGCGGCTAGCTCGGCCAGCACATTCTGCAGGTAGTTGGGGTCGGGGTAGCCGTGTCCTGTCACATTTCGGTCCATCTCTGTCTTGTGGTGGATCTCGTTCCACACCACTGTGTCTGTCTCACCCGTGGTGCTGGATGTCCCGACAGTGAAGATGAGCCGCCTCTTCCAGGCAACCTTCAGCAGCTCTAGGACCTGCGGGGAGGGAAGCGGGTAGAAAAGGGAGGGGAGGAGGAGAGGAAAGCAGGAGCAGAGAAAGGAGGGCCAGTAAAGAGCGCGCCGGGCCAGCCCTCCACCCACACCCTCTGCGGCAAGCTTGCCCAGTGCCGCACACTAACCCGTCAGTGGGGATCCTCAGAACTCCAGCTACAGACCCGACAGCACGACAGGATCTCACACAAGCCTCGGCCCAGCCAGGCCCACCCTGCTCCATCTCAGTAATGGGTACTGCTACCTACATAGCCACTCTCAGGCAATGCCCCAGTCCGCTGTCCTTACACAATTTACCCAGGACACACTGCCTGCTGCCCACTCTGCTGGAATCCAGCTGCCTGCCTCTGCATCCTCGCTGCCTTCTCAGCTTCCATGCTTGGCCCCCTGGGAGTCCTCAGTTGGGGCTGGGCACGTGGCTCAGTGACAGGGGATTTGCTAGAGTGAGGCCTTGGGTTCCATTCCCGGCAATGAGGAAAAAACAGACTATGCCCACCCAGCAGCCAGAAGAGTGTTTCCTTACTGATCCACAGCAGCCTCTCCTGTGGCCTCAGGGTGCCGAGGGTGTCCTTCCCATAAGCACCCCACTTCTCAGGGATGGACTGCAGGGCATCCCAGCCTTCAACCTCCCTCACTGTGTAGTCTGGGTCCATCCAGAAGCCTCCACCTGCTGCTGTCCCCTGGAAGGCTCTTCCTAACCTACTGTGGGGTCTCAGACAGCCAGAGCGGCTCAGCCATGTGGGTCCCCAGTCCTCCTGTGGCTTCTCATGAACCTGACTCTAAAGAGCAAGGAGCCTGGCCTCTGCCTTCTCTGAAGTCTGTGAAGCCAGGTCACTGCCCCCTGGGTCCTCAGTGAGTTCTGGGGGAAGAACAGTGTGGCAGCGATGCCTTTGGGTCTCACTGTCCCTGGCACTAGAAGGTGAACCAAGGCAGGCATGTGGGACTGAGGGGCCTTTACCTTGCGGCCCTGGGCGTTGTCTGGGAGGTAGCACTGGCGGGGGAACCCTCTGGCGGTGAATGGCTTCCCAGGGTTGGGGTGCTCAGGGCCCTGTAGAAGGAACACAGGATGGGAGGGCTGCTGCAGAGGCTGAGAGGCACGGAGCCGCTCATCAGCCTGGGGACTTCCTGACTGGGTCTGCTCCTGTGCTCAAGATACAGACAAAGCTGGTCCCTCCAAGGCCCACAGGGAGAAGGTCTCCCATCCATGCCCTCTCCCTCAGACCTGCGAGGATCTGCCTGCCATGTGACCCCACCTGCTGACCTCCTCTTTCCTAGGGGACTCTGGGAAGCCTGCAAGGGCCAGGGCAGACCCTCCTGCTTCTCTGGTAACCCTCTGAGCATTGGGCTGTCTGGGGCCTTCCTGTCACCCACACAAACTTCACAGGCTCACCAGGCTGCACCTGGCTCTAAAAAGCGTCTGGAGAGGCGGCCCCTGGGTGACACACTGATGAATGGGGAAAGGGGTGACGAGATGAGCCATGCGCCCTGCCCCTATGGCTCAGGCCAAGCCCATGCACAACTCAGTCCTCCACTCTGCAGTGCTTCCAAACTGAGCCACGTGGAAGCGGAAGGTAACCAGGAGAAAGGCATGTGACTCAGCCTCACTCCAGCTCCTGGGCCCCTCTGTCCAGGCAGAGTCCAGCCAGCCAACAAGAGCTAGGGCCTGGTGTGGGTTCCCGACTCCCAGCCCAGGCCCGAGTCTGGCTCCTTCTTCTCAGTACAAGGTTCTGTCGGGCATGAAGTGATTCCAGCCAGGTCCCTGCAGGCTCCTGGTACAGCGGGTCCTTTACCTGGATGCCATGGGGAATGTTGTAAACTATGAGTATCGTCCCACAGTCCTCGTGGCCCGGCAGTGACACCTGGAACGTGAACACCTCCATCTTCCCCCGGGGCTGGGTGCCGGTCTTCTCCCCATAGATGGTTTTGCAGGAGGGACACTGCAGACTGCCATCCTGGGATGAGGCAGATGCACAGTCTGAGCTGCAGCTCCTGGTGAACCTAGACAGTAACCTTGCCCAGGTGGCAGAGGCCGCCACTGGGGACCTAGATGGCAGAGCTCACCTAGTACCCAGCAAGCCTCCTCTCCCAGAAACTGGTTTCTAACACTGAGCTGTCAAAAGTAAGTTTGAGAGCCAGGTATGGTGGTGCTGCCTGTAATCCCAGCATTTGGGAAGTTGAGGCAGAAAACTGTGGTGAGTTCAAGGCCAGTCCAAACCACATGGCAAGACTAAACACAAACAAACAAAACCAAAACCAAAAACTAAAACAAATACTAAAAGGTAAGTTTTACATCAGAGTCTCATGCAATTCTCATAAAGGGGTCAAGGGCCGGGGATTTAGCTCAGTGGTGCTGCTGCCTGCCTCAAAAATGCAAGGTCCCGAGCTCGCTGCCTGGTACCAAAAAAAAGAGATGGGTCAGGCAGAAACATCAGGTTCATGACCATCTCCAGACTTATCACCTCTAAAATCAAACAGACTCTTCAGTGATCTGCAGCTGCTACAGGTGGGCTGCTGAGGATGCCCATGGTGCCACACAGAGCCCTGAGCCAGGCTGGACAGCTGTCACGGGACTTGCTCCCTCCAGCCTCCCAATCTCTGCCCACTCTGGCAGCCAGAGGTCAGCACCGAGGAATGTACAGGACTCTGTATAAAGAGGACCGAGACAACTGTGGTGTCCCCAGAGTCTTTTCCTCATTAGAAAAGGGCTGACAGTGGAGGGCTGTCACAGGGAGATGTGAAAGGCTTGTAAGTGACAAGGGTGAGATGGAGCCTGCAGCTCTGGAGAGGCCAGTGTCTTCCCAAGCCTGGCTGGAAAGCTGGTGTGCCCATGGCCTCTCCCTAAAGCACAGGCAGGTCTGGGAGAACCAGCAGGGCCTGCAGAAGTCACCAAGCCAGCAGCTCCAGTCCCTGTCCTGCCAGGAGCAACCCCACACCTGCCACCTAGAGCCCAGCAGCTGAGCCCATCTGGCTGCAGGACAAGCACCACAGCCTCCCAGGGCTGCTTCTGTCAGAGGCAGCAAGTCGTCTCCACCCATACCCACCCAGCCAATACAGTCACCTTGTTCCCATTGCAGTACATGGCCAGCAGGCACAGCAGGTGGAAGGAATGGCTGCACCTGGTGAGGCGGCCCACAGCCACAGGCCCAAGAGTCTTGCTGTCGGTCACATCACTGTACCCAGAAATCACAGACAGCTTCTCCATGCAGATCATGCAGTCCTGGGGGACCAAACACAGGGCACGCTTGCCAGCCTGGCTGTGTGGCAGTAGACCAGCCTTGCAGAAGGCTGCTGTCTGTTCCTGGGGCTGGGATCACAGGAATCGTCAGGACCTGTGCCCATGAGGGGCTAAGCCGAAAAAGGGGCCTGAGGGGCAGTGGGAACAGCAGGATGAAGAGGACAGGAGGAGGAGAGGCTGAGTTGCTTTTGTCAAGAACACAGGGGTAGTCACAGAGGGATGAGCGTTGCAGGTGAGAGAAGAATGTGCTGAAACATAAAGAGCACACAGGCAGCTCAGGGGCACTGGGTGGACAGGGGTGGATGAGACCAGGCCCAGGAAGGGCCAGTTGTGGACCACCAGGCTCAGAGCCAGCTGCATGGTGGCCACGAGGACAGAGGAGGAGCCCAGGGCTAGGAAGCCAAGAGAAAGAGAGGTCTAGGGAGGTGCAAAGAGAAGCTCTGGGAAGGGAGGGGATGCAAGAGGACTTTCAGGCTCTGTTCCAACCTTTCCTACCCAGATTTTCTCATATTCAACTCTCAGGACAAAGCAGCATGGGAAGCCCTTGGCTCTACACTCCACTCCGGACCTCCAACCTCTAGGACCTCCAGCAGTTCCTAAGACGTGGCTCACCAGAATGAGGGCTTGGCAGGAACCCTGATCAGCACTGCATCAGCCAGAAGCAAAGGAGCGCCACCTGGACAAGTTTACCTTGCTGGGCAGGGCTGAGAGCTCTAGTGCTGGGACTCCTGGCCCCTGAGGTGGCCTTATGCAAGCTACACAGAGCTGGCACCCCCCACTTTTTTTTGGCAGTACTAGGAATTAAACCCAGGACTTTTGCAATGATCTACATTCCCATCCCCTTTATTTTGAGACAAAGTAAATCTCAACTAAGAGTTTAAGGCTGGGCTTAAAATTAAGATATTACTGCCTCAGTCCTCCAGAGTACTGGGATTATGGGCCTGTGCCACCATGCTTAGCTTGAGAAAGAGTTTTGCTCAGGACCAGAGCTTATCTGTGAGATGGGAATAACAGTTCTCAGGAGCCCCAGCTATCTTGTCTTGGAGCTCCGACTTACCACTGGAGGCTGGAGCTGAAACGAGAACTTGGAGCACTGTGCCTGTCCCAGAGATACCTGGAATATATCCTGAGAGCCGAGCAGGCTGAGGGTCCCCTTCTCATGGAGTTTACTTGTCTCCAAACAAACATGGCTGCAGCACAGCACCCAGGATGCTTACCTCATCCGGGGGTGTCTTCAGCTCCTCCGTGTAGTTTCTGATCACCTGTTCTGGCTCCAGCTTTGGAGCCACCCCTGGAAGAGAAGGGCAAGTAAGTGGAGTCCCAGGTGTACGAGTTGGGAAGAGCGATGCCAGGGAGGAAGGTGGACAGGCAGAGATCCAAGCTGCAGGACAAAATGTTAGCAGGGCTGAGACAGAAGGTTAGTGTGCAAAACAGGACATTCCAGCACTGCTAGGACACCTGTATAATGCTGGCCCAGCCGGAGGCCCTGGAGGTGGCAGCGGTTGAGGGTGGGGAGAAAGACAGCAGCGGCTGAACCTCTCCTAACCATGACCCAGGAATTTTTTTTTTTTTGGTATCGGGGATCGAACTTGGGGGTAACTCTTGATTGGCTCTGTGGAGGACCCCAGAAACGTTCAACAGCAGCTTTGAGGACAAACTGCCCCCCAGACCATTCTGGAGTTTGGTTTCTCCAAGCCTTACCACTCTTGCACGGTGATTTCAGTGAGAGAGATGAGTTCTGAGTCCACCTTTCCCAGGAGCCTAGTGCACATGGGTATGTTGTGCCCCCTGTAGACAATGTCACAGTGCTGCTGTCTCATGCACCATGGGCTCAGAACTAGGGGAAGCACCCTGACTGCACCCCTGCTGGGTCTCCAGCCACATGCATGAAGGTGCGGGGAGGCCATTCCTCCACAGACCCCAGCCCTGCCCAAGGACAAGAGCTCCTAAGCAAGAGGATGGCACAGCTGGGGGCCTCCAGGCGGAGGCAGCAGCAGTAGCAGCAGGATCACATGGCATTGCAATCAAGCCCAGGCAGGGGCAGAAGACAGGAGCAGGGGACAAATGCAGCCTGGAAGTGTCCCCAGGCAGGGCTCCTCATGCCATCTTGAGGGCATGGCACCCACCCCCACCCCCTGTCTCTAAGGCCAGAAGGGCTTCCTGGTTTGAAGCTAAACTCACAGACCTCAGTCTAAGGGCTCAACAAATGAACCCTCTCCAGACCAGAGATGACTGGTGACAGCTACCCAGGAAGTGGCTTGGTGTAGAAGGGCTGGCATCAGGGAACATTGGACTTGATTCTGGCTCTCACTCTGTGATCAAATCCTACCACTTCAAAGCCCCAGTTCCCTGAGCTAAGAGTAGAAGCCCAGTACCTAACAAAGTGTCACTAGTATAACTGCTAGCACCTGAGAAGGGAAGCAACCAACCAGCAGGGGACACCACACATGGCCACTCACACACCACTATTCCCAACCTCACATACTTCCCATGCTGCGCCCCCATATGCCACATCCACACCTACACCCCTTACAGACTTCCAGAACCCATACCCTGGTCACTGGTGAGGAAGCCAGGTCAAAATAATGACCACAGGCACAAGGTAGCCAGGAGTCAGCCAGAGGGAGCTTTTCCTTTCAGAAGTCCGGTGTCTACAGGCCAATCTGCAGGGGGCCCAGAGACACCCTTGCAAGGAGCAGGTCCTCAGATTAAGTATTGCTGGCATGGCACTGACCCCTCACCCAGGTGGGGCTATTCAGAACTGAAGGGAACTGCCATTAGCCAGCCTTCTTTGCTGGGCACGGTGTTGGATTTGATCCCCAGTACCACCCACCCACACACCCACACACAGGCTGGCCAGGTGTGACTGTTAACCCCATAAAAGGGACATCTGGGCCCAGGAAGGCCAGAGGATCTACTGGAACCCTGTTTCTTCCTGAACAGGATGGGTGCCAGGCTGTTGCCCTCTTGTCTGGCCCACACCCATCTCCACCAAGGCAGCTAAGAGCAGCCTGTGTGGAGCCCAGGGTTGGGGTCAGGAGCCCTAAAGCCACCCATCCCTGGATACCACTCCTGCTCTATGGGGTGGGGATCAGGATCAGATAGAACAGGCCATAATCAGAGCAGTTGTCACTGTGCTTTGCCTGTCCTTCCTAGTCCTCTCCAGCCAACCTAAGCCACAGGCACTGCTCACACCAGAGAGGTCACAAAACCAAGAGTGGCTTGAGCTTCGACAGCAACCCAGGCTGGCAGGGCCCCAGTCAGCCCTGCACACTACCATGACACCTCATAGACCACCAGAACAGCTCAGAACTTACTACCAGGCCAGTCTTACCACAAATGCCATTCCTTCCATGGCTCTGAATCCCTTTCTTCCTAGGACATATGACAGGCATGGCAATGGTTAACAGAGAACCTGCCAAGTGGCCCAGCTCTGGGACCCATGGCAGTGGCCCTTCCTGAGACACACACCAGCAGCACTGGAGGGACAGTCATCCCATCATCCCTAGCCAGGCTCCATATGCACCTTGATGTTTACGGGATCCTTGTGCCTGGAAAACAAGATTCCCAGAAGCTACCTCTGCTGCCAAGCGAGGGCAGGAAGAAAGGGCCACAGGGAGCCAGGCAGGGCTAGGGAGGTCAGGGAAGAGCAATTTGCACGGCAGAGTTGGAGGCAGTGAGACTCGGAAGAGGCTTAGCAGAGGCCAGAGAGCATGTGTGAACAGGAACTACCTTTCATGGACATTTTCCTTAGTTTCTTAACTGAGCTGTGACTTTTAGAAGCCAGGCGGGAGGCGGGAGGACTGGTGGACTGGGGTGCGCGGCTAAGACACACGGGGAGTCCAATGGCTGACATCAGCACACTCGTCATGCCTGCACAGGTGCAAGATCAGACATGCAGGGAGAAACATTAGAAGGAGCACTTGGCACGCAACATCCGCAAACCCTGCCGAGTCCAAGATGGCAGCAAGAATGGCTCCCAGGACCTATATATCTTCTGGAGAATCTGGAGGCTGCCAGGTCTGCGTTCCAGGCTGGTAACCAGGCCTTATCACCAGTGCCCAGCCTCAGGTCCCCAGGTATCTGCACAAGTACTTGCCTAGCCTATCCCTAGAGCATGCAGGGGGCAAGGCCCATTGCTATAGGAGAGCAGAGGACAAAATACTACCCCAGAAGATGCCTGAGCAGTTCTGGGTGTCCTCTCCCCTTATCAGGGGCAGGGATGGGGAGCAGATGCAACATAGTAGGGCATGGCCAAGCTGCAGAAACAGGGATGGGCCTCCCCAGCAGGGCTATATTCAAGGGCTCAGTCTCACCAGTGACCCCTGGCACCTCCAGGCCTTACCACACCCTCTTGGGTTGTAGTCATACTGCCTCCTGCAGGGTGCTGTCTGCTTTCTATAACCCACGTGACCGATCTAGGTGACACGGCTTCAGTGACATTGCTGAGGTGGGAACATCGCCCCTGGGGATTGCTCCAACACTGAGGGAACCCAGGGCCCTCAGCCGTGGCTTTCACTGGTGCCACCAGAGAGGGAGCTGCAGCAGGCCACTGTGCATCCACCAGGCCGGCCACTGTGGCCTCCACAAGATCAAAGGCTCTCAACCTGGCCAACATGCCCAGTTGGGGACAGAGGCAGAGGCTAGCCACTGGCAGCCTGGGCAGCATAGCTGAGTTGGGCAGGGGACATTGTGGCCAGAGACCAAAGTGCACAATGGAAGATCCAGGTTTGAGCCTGGGCTCTGAGGGGACTGCTGCTGGCTCACCGAAATGCCACCTGCTTCCCAAGATTGTTGGTGGGCTCAGATGTAACTAACTCCCTTGGGAACTAAATGTTAAGAGGGACAGAATGACAGCTGGCACAGGTGGCTGAAAGATGGGGCAGACCAGAAAGAGGAGCAATGTTTCTTAAGAGAAACCAGAGGCTTTATACCAGCCACGTCCTCTGATGGGTACATAACCCCCACAGAACACCACTTAGGTCCTAAGCGCCACCTCTGAGAAGGCCTTAGTGTCCCTGACCACCCTGTGGACCGGGCCACATGCCCTGCCCACTTCCAGCTCCTTCACCCTGCTTATTTATCTTCTCGGTACTTTCACAGCTGAAATCATCTATGCACCTTCTAGCTGACCATCTTTCCCTCAGCAGGCGTGATCTGGAGGAGGCACAGGTATGTGTCTGCTGAGGATGAAGACATCCCTAGGGCCACTATCACCAGCCAGTGTCATGTCACTTCTGCCTTGTCCAACACAGAACCTAGTCCCTTGAACTCCAGCCAGACACCAGTCTCAATGTAGTCACCTGGGACAAAGGAGTCTTGCTCCATGGCTCTAGTTTCCTGTGAGAGGCCTGAAAACCACCCCGTACCTGAGACATCAAGCAATGACTGCAATGGATTTGGGGCACTGAGCAGGCCAGTTCATCTCCCTCAGCAACAGGGGTTCAGGGATAAAGCACCCAAACAGCTCGGGCAGCAGCCATGGCTTTTCCTGAGCGCACTCACACCCCAGAGTGCAGCCCCCATTCGAAGACTCTCAACCCCCAAATACTAGTACCCCTGTTAGAAACTAAAAGCTAACCTTTCACTAGGGACCAGGGCGGAGAGCCAAGCTGGTCGGCCACTGCTCTGGTTTCCTGAGTTTCTGTCACTCCCCCCGGGCTGGTGGGCCCTGAGCGGTTTCCTGAGCAGCAGTGCAAGATCCAGGCCTGGCTGCAGATGCTGCTTCCTCCTTGGCAGGCAGGATGTGAGGAAGCTGGCCCTGTGCCACAAAGGCGAGGGCTGGGCAATGTGTACCAGGGGAGTGGCACCTGGAAGCACCATCACTGGGAGGCACAGCTCCTCCAGCCCACACGGTGCTGCCGAAACATGACCATCTGGTTGTACTCTAACCTAAGGAAACCCATCCCCAAATGCTTATCTCCCTGTGTCTGGGTGTGGTATATTCCTGAATCCAAAAACGTGGCTCAGGTGAGAGAGGACACTCTCAGCCTTTGCTTCATTCTCTGATGTCCTAGAAAATGGTCCCAATAAGCAAGTATCAATCCCAGAGCCTTGGATTAATTATCTGATCAACTTATTGATTTAGCAGTGCTGGGGATTGCACCTGGGGCCTTCAGAGACTGAGCTGTATCTACATTCCCAGCCCTTTTTATTTTCAATTTTTTTTTCTTTGGTACCAGGGTTCAAACTTGGAACCTTGTGCTTGCAAAACAGGCAGCAGAACCACTGAGCTAAATCCCCGGTCAATTTTGAGGTCTTATTAAGTCATTAAGTCACTCAGGCTTGGGCCAGGGATTTAGCTCAGTGGTTCCGGTGCCTGCCTTGAAAGCTCAAGGGCCTGACTTCAATCCCAGTACAAAAAAAGTCAACCAGGCTGGCCAAATTTGCCACTCTCCTGCCTTAGCAATCCAGAGAGTTACAGACATTACCATCATGTCCAGCTTGGAGCCTTGAATTTATGAGGGATTGGCACTGGTCTTCCCTATTTCCCAACTAGAATCAAGTTCCTGAACTTTTAGGGTATTTTCCCTGAATAAAACAGGTTAGAATACTTGCCTAGAGGCTGGAGATGTAGCTCAGTGGTAGAGCATTTGCCTACCATGTATAAGGCCACAGATTCCATCCTCAGCAATGCAAAGAAATAAAAAGTAAAAGAGCGGGCCTAGTGGCTCATGCCTATAATCCCAGCGCTCAGGAGGCTGAGGCAGGAGGATCACTGTGAGTTCAAGACCAGCCTGGGCTACATAGTGAGTTCTAGGTCAGTCTCAATTACATACTGAGACCCTGTCTCAAAATAAGACAAAACAAGTAAAAGAAAGAAAAATAAAAAGCTGCCCACCTCCAGGATTGCTGTGAGAGTTGAGGTAATAGTGACACTGAAATAAGCAGGGATGCAGCCTAGAGGGTCCCCAGCATCTTGGGAAGGAGGGGGTTGGTGCTACACGATGCTCAGGCATGTTTAAGAGCCTCTGGGAGAAGTGACCTGAATCTGTGTTACAGCCTTGAAGGGCACACCATCAGGTCCTGCCACCAAGAGGGCCATATGGCCGCCCAGCCTGTTTATGGATAACCTTTCTCCACCGGCACAGTCCTGCACTGCCATCTGATGACTCACCCACAGCACCAATGCAAGTGTCCGAAAGTGGACAGGAACTCTCTGAGAATATTTGCTGCTCTCTCCCCAGGGCATCAGCTACAGCATCAGGAGCGCATGCTGAGTGCTCTCCAGCTCCGCACCCTCCCCACCCCTGGCTTTCTCTACCTCACGTGCTGTTCCTCATCCAGCATCCCCCATCCCTCGACGGGCGAAGGGCCTCATCTCCTCCAGATGCCTTTCTGAGATGCACACCCACACTCCTGCTGTCCCTGGGACATTCCACTTGTCTACACCACAGCCATCACCACCCAAGGGTCCACCGGACTCGGGAGCACTGAAACATCATGGGAAGAGCCCAGATCCTGAACCAGAACATCTAGGGTTGAGTTCTCAGCTTTTGAAAATCTCAAGAGCTTCAGCTCCATCAAATGTAAAGTGGGAATAAAGTCTCCACCTCAGAGTTATTTAAGGATGAAACACCTGCGTGTGTGCAGGAGCCCCTGGTTACTCGTCTGCTGAATTACTGTCATGATGACCACACGACTGACAGTGGGACCCGGCAGGCCTTCCACCTCCCTTCTCATCACCTCTCCAGCACTAAGTCGGGAGCACCCCCCACCTCCAACTCGCCCAGGTGTGCAGCCAGGCTCCACACAGTCTCCTGCGCAGGCCTGTCATCTAACCACCCTGTGATGACAGAGACCTGCCAAAAACAAACTCAGTTACCGATTCCCCCCACATCGACTGCAAACAATGAAATCTACCTTCCTTTATATATACTTCGCGGCACCTGCAAGCTACTATGAATAATTTCAGTGGCGCCTCAACATTGGAAGAGGACTTCACAGAATAAGGTAATAAGCAATCTAGATGGGTCAAAGGTATTTACTCAGAGCCAGACATGATGTAAGTATTGCCACATGGCTCTAAGAACCCCAAGGATGTCCTGCCTACAGCATTTCAGGACAGAAAAGTGGCTCTAACTATAATCCCCCCCCACTTTTTTTGGTGGTCTTGGGGACTAAACCCAGGGCTTTTGCATTGAGGTACATTCCCAGCCCTTCCACCCCTCCTTCCTTCCTTTCGTTTTTATTTATTTAAATTTTGAAGATGGTTCTTGTTGAATTGCTAAGTTACACAAGTTAGGCTTGAACTTGTGACCGTTTCAGCCTCCTAGAATGCTGGCACTACAGGCATGTGCCACCACATTCGATTTCTAACTATAAATTTTTTTTTTTCTGACTGTAATTTCATTCAACAGAACAATGTAAAAGGGCCAGGACTGGTAGCATGCACTTGTAATCCCAGTTACTCAGAAGGCTGAAGCAGAAAGATCACAAGTTGTTCAAGTCCAACCTGAGTAATACAGTGAGACCTTGTATCAAGAACTAAAAAGGGCTGGGGTGTAGCTCAGTGGTACAGCACTTGCCTAGCATATGCAAGGCCCTGAGTTTCATCCCAATCTCACACACACAGACACAGACACACACACACAGAAAAAAATGTTTAAAAAGATGTGAAAGGCCCACACTAGGGTGCTGTCATCAGGCTCCGCTGTCCAGTGCTACACCATCACCAGAAAGAAGCACTGCCCTCCAGGAGGCCCTCGGGTTTGGCCAATGGTGGCGAGGCCCCACCCCACCACCTCTTCTGGTATCCAGCCCCATGGGACAGTCTGTTCAGGACACCTACCTGCAAGCGCTTGCTGGACCCTGCTGGGCTTGGGCACCTGCACAGGCACAGTGGCGGGGACGCTGCCAAGGCTGCTGGAGGGACCGCTGGGGAGAGAGGCACTTGGGGAGAGAAGAGAGCAGAGGTGAGTGTATAGTGGTGCTGTCTCCGAGGAGCAGGGCTGGGGCACAGGCTGAGCAGAAACAGGGAGCGGCTGAGGCTCTTTCCCGTGTCCACTTTCCTGTCACCTCTGGGTGAAGGAGCCCCCAGTTTTCAGGGGCACTTGAGACACCGAGGACAATCCTAAAGGAGGAGCTCACTAGCTTCATTAACACACGAGGCTCTCAGAATTCCTGTCAGAGAGGAAACTGGCAGAGGACACTTATTAACGAGCCATCCTGACCAAAGTCACCAGGGACAGGGCAGGGCAGTATCATGAACTCTCAAGTGATGCTCTCAGAAGGTCCTAACAGCATTTTTTGTGAGATTCCTGCCAAAACTGCACCATCTCATTCAAATCATGGGAAACAATCAGACAAACCCAAATTAATGACATTCAGCACAGCACCACTTCAGGGTGGTGAGGTTATGAAAGATGAAGAGTGGCTGGAAACTGGTACCAAGAGAACAGGAAGAATGACAAGTACTTGCAAAGTGGGATCCTGCAGAGGATCTAGGGACATGGGTGTTGGGGGTGGCAGATGTGGAAAAGCTGGAGAAAAACTGGAAAAAAAAAATCCTTGAGTTTAGTTTATATCATTGCACCAGTAGTAATTAACCTCCTTAGAGGACAGTGTGGCCAGGGTGCGCTTGGTGTAGAGCGCTGGCCTAGCCTGCACAAGGCCCGGGGCTCATCCCCAGTACTGCAGAAACCACGGCCATCACCACCACAAAAACCCCTAGAAGACACAGAGTGAGGGACACATGGAAACTCCTGTACTATTTTTGTAACTTTCCCATAAACCTAAGATTGGTACAAAGTAAGGAATTGTTCTTGATGTTTTAAGTAATGAGGGCTCTGGGGCCAGAGACATAGTTTGTGACAGTGCTTGCCCAGCACATGGAAGGTCCTAGGTTAAATCTTCAGTATCACAAAAATAAAATTTATTTTTTAAAATGAAGGCTTTGATTCCCACAGCAACTATGTTCAGTCAAGCTCCTCATTGAGAACCCTTGGCAGAGTACTGAGCTCCTCCTGCCAGCTGTTTCTCCTTCCAATTCCTGGGTCCTCTGCCTGAGATGATGAAATATGAAGGTTATGAAACCCTCCCACATGGTCACCACGCTGGGCTCCTCAGCACAGAGCCTTTGTTTCAAAGCCAGGCCTAGCCCAGAGCAGGCCTGCTGCTCAGCCAATGGGGACTGGCCCCACTCAGCAACCCTGACAGCTGCCAGCAAAGCAGCCACTGCCTCTGGGGCCGCTCCAGTTCTACGCCACTGTCAGTCACAGTCACAATCCTGTGCCCGGGTACTATAAGGAGCAGAATGGCCTTACCCGAACCAGGAACCCACATGCTCAGCCAGAGCTGAGGCCACCAGGGGCTCCTGTGGGTTCTGGAGTGGGACAGGTTCTCTGGTACTTGCCTGAGTGAAGAAAGGTTTTGTTGGAATTTCTTGGGAACATTCTTCCCAAACAAGATGGCCTGTGTGGCTGGGCTAGCAGATGAGCAGCTTCCTGCTCTCCTTAGCTATTCTTAGCACAAAGAGAAAGGCAGATACAGACCTACGCTCACCTGGTAACTCAAGAGGGCTGGGAGCTGGATACCTGGAATGAGGTCTTGGTTCCACTGAACTGTCATTAGGGGCAGGTCCCACTTCTTCCTGCACCTGTTCCAACTATTTTTTTTTTTTTAATACTGAGGATTGAACCAAGGTCACCACAGTGAACTATATCCCCACCCCTTTTTATTTTCATTTTTATTTTTTAGATAGTGTCTCATGAAGTTGCTAAATTGCCCAGGATAGGATTGAACTTGCCAGCCTCCCGCCTCAGCCTCCCAGAATGTTAGGATTACAGGAGTGCACCACCATATGTAGCTTAACTTTTTTTTTTTCATGCCCCTGGTAGCCTTTGTAAGTGACTCAGAGGTACCATAAGTGAAGCCACTTGTGACTCCAGCTCAGATCTCCCAGCAAACTCTGAGGGAGCAGCCTTCATCTAGGGGCCAGAAAACTGAAGCTTCTCTCTGTAACTCCATGAAATGAGCAAGGACATGGTGGGCTGGGGCAAGGGGGAAGCAAGCCCATGGTCCCGCCCAGAGATTGGGCCCCTGGTGGCTCTTCCCCACAGAACAACCAGGAAATGGAATCCTCCCTCCAAGGAAATGGGGAGGCCTGACTTGAGGTTCTGTCACCAAGGGATGGAGCACAAAGCAGCTCAAAGCGAGGCTTCCAGCAGGCTCCCAACTCCCAGGTGTCCACCCTCAACCAGGTCCACATTCTGTAGAAAACTGTCCAACTTCACTACTGCCCCATATCACTCTCAGTCTCTCCCCATCTGTGTCCCTGCTGTGGTGAGCCACAGCCAAGCCTTACAAAGATACAGCAGTTCCCAAGACGGAAACCCCAGAAGACAATCTCAGGGCTCTTTGATCCCCGCCACCATCCTCAAGAGGGCTCATGCTCACAGACTGCTCCCCAAGGTGGGGACACTTCTAAGTGACCTTCTCCAAGAGTGCCTCTAGTCCTTGTTCAAATCCCCAGCCCACCTCACCCACAGCCCCATTCCTGGTCTCTCTACTAGGCTTCCCTGGCTTTGCTGTGGAGACCACCTCCGAATGGAGCCAAGCACACGAGACATGGGAACTTTTTAGTCTCTGACACAGACAGGATCTGACAGTCATAGGCAGGGGGCAGACTGAGGAGGCTCTCCAGAGAGGAAGGAGATCCAAAATGTCTACCCCACCCAATTCCCCTAGGATGTGGGCCACAGCCAGCACCAACTCAAGACACTGATGACCCAGGCTGTGAGGTTCCAGGTCCCCCAAGTGCTGGCACCCAGGTAAGCTGTCAATCCCATCTTGAGCTTCAATTTGTCTACAGCATCAGAATAACTCCAGAAGGCCCCAGGGCAGTGGAGAGGTTCAATCTGAAGCTCCAGACTCCCCAGAACTGAGGGGCAGCAAAGGCAGGCTTTTAAATCCTGCAGTTATAGAAAAGGGAAACAATCACAAGAGAGGTAAACAGAACCTTCATAAGGATCAGAACTGATCCACTGGCCCACAGCAAGTTGCTGCCAGGCCTCTCCTAAACCCATGATTCTAACGATACAGCCAAGACAGCCATGGCCAGAGCTCCTGGCCAGCAGCATTAGGAAGTTCAGAGGCGAGGACAGCAGCGCAAGGCCAACACAGATGCAAGCAGGGCCATTTGGAGAACAGAGGCCACAGGCTGAAACACAGCCCTGAGTTTCAAAGCTGTTGGTCATGATCACCACCCAAGTCATGAAAATGCCATGCGAGGTTGTCAGACCTATTTCAGATAGGAGTGTGCATGACACACTTTGCGAAGTTTTCCACTCAATCTCAGAACAGAAGTTTTGGTGCTTAAAAGGATAAATTTCACCTACAAGGCAAACTTAAAGCCAGCAGCTCAGTTACAGATGACACAGCTTGTCATGTATTACTGCACATCCCCAGGGAACACAAGGAAATCATGCAGCCAGTTTCCCCACACTGAGCAAGAAGCGATTTGAAACCACATGCATTCCAAAACAAACAAACAAACAAACACCACGGGTTCCATCAAAGCCTGGGATGTCATCAGCTCACATAGCAGCTACAGTGGCCAGTGGCAGCAGAGGTGGTTCTGTCCACAGACCTGTCCTGCCTGGCCTATCTCTTCTCCATGAGATACTGTTGGTATTTACTTGGCTCTGAGAGGCTGGCTGCAGCCCTAGGGAGAACAAGGTACCAGAAGTTCTCAGTTCTTCCAGCGCCGCTAGGGTAAGAGGTCAGGTGGCAGTGATGATCCTCTGGCTCTCTTGCCTGGCAGAGGAGGGTGACTGAGGAGCATGGGCCAAGCTACAGTTTAGGCCTGGGAAACTCCTGTGTTTCAAAGCCTGGTTAGGGCTGTGCAAGTGAAAAGACACTCCTCCCAGCCCCAGGAAAGTGGGGGAAACAGTTAGGGATCCACACCCACCCCAGGAGGCAGGCTGCTTTGAGGCTGTGTCAACTAACACAGCCGGCTGGCCTGGTTCCCCCGGCTCCCAACGCAGGGCAAGCAGCAGCTTGCATGGCCACCAGCACCAAGCTGAAGTGTTGCCAGCCCAGTAGCCACCTTTCTGCCACTCACCTGGCCTGTGGCAGTCAGTGTCTGCCAGTCTCAGGTGAGAGGGGGAGAGCCTGACAAATTATTAGGGGGACACCAATGGCATCCTGGGTCAGAGGGAGCAAAGCCTCACTAAGTCACCTGATTTAACCCCAGAATCCTAGTTACAGCATTACTTAAAAGTTGCCCTCAGGGGCTGGGGATTTAGCTCAGCGTGCCCTGCAAGCACAAGGACCTGAGTTCAATCCCCGGTACCAAAAAAAAAAAAAAAAAAAAAAAAAAAAAAAAAAAAAAAAAAAAAAAAAAAAAAAAAAAAAAAAAAAAAAAAAAAAAAAAAAAAAAAAAAAAAAAAAAAAAAAAAAAAAAAAGTTGGCCTCAAAATAATTGATAAGACCACTGGGTGAGTAGGTGGGGATGTGTACATGCATAATTCCAGCATTCAGGAGGCTGAAGTAGAAATGATACAAATTCAAGGTCATTTTGAACTATATAGTGAAACCCTGTCTCAAAAACAAACAAAAAGGCTGCGTGTGTTGGCACACACCTGTGATCCCAACACTTGGGAGGCTGAGGCAGGAGGATTGTAACAAGTTCAAGCCTAGCCTAGGTTACATAGCGTGTTCAAGGCTGGTCTGAACTATAAGACTCTGTCTCAAAAAACAAAACAAAACAAATTGATCAAAGAAAAAATAATAATTAGTAAGAATTGAAGGCTAGGTGCGGTTCAGGACGAGCCTAGGCAATTTAATGAGACCCTTCTCAAAATAAAAATAAACAAGGGCTAGAGATGGCACACCCATGGTAGAGCACATGCCTGAGTTCATTTCCCAGTGCTGAGCTGGCAGACAGAACATGCTGGCTCCCTGACTCACACGACCAGGGGGTCTTGGAACCCTACTTACTCAGGTCTATGTAAAAGTCCACAGAGGACCCACTGACACCTCTGTGGGCTCCCAATTCCCAAAATATTTCTAATACATGCTCCTACTCTGGAGGAAGTTGCCCTGAAAAACTCTGACAGACCCAAGGTCTACTAGCTTACTACCTTCCATGTCTACCAGGTCCCTCCTCAGCCACTGTCCCAGGGCCTCTGCTTCCTCCTCATTCCCCCTCCACAACAGCTTCAAGGCCTCTCTGTGTGTTCCACATGGCTTACTCTTGGCGGTGGGTTTAATCCTACTTCCGCCATTTCCTAGCAGTTTGGCCAACCTCACAGGCTTGGATGTACCATTCCATAAACTGAAGGTGCCACCTACCTTCAGGCCTCTGTGAGGACCAATAAAATCACTCACGTAGCATGGCATGTAACACTGCCTATAACAGTGCTTTAACTCACAGCCTCCTCAGAAATTCTTCTGAAGAGGTCTAGATGCTCGAGAAGCCACCTACAAGGTCACTGTCACCTTGGGAAGCTTGAGCTCTCAAGGTGGCGAAGCATCATGGAGTGCTGGGTAACAAGGTGACATCAACGTGATGACTGGCCATCAGTCCAGATCACAAAATGCTCTCTTCCCTGGGGACCACGGAGCTACAAGATTACGAATTCTGTCATCACCAACCCAGGCCACTTGTCCTCAGAAAGCAGCCCCCACCCTCATCACTCCCAACTCTCGGAAGTTCTCGTAAGGATGAGGGGCCCTGCCAGCCTGCCCAGCCACACCGCTGGCAGGCCAAGGCCGGCACACTCTCTCACGTTAAAGCGCAACTTGGTCTGGGCCAGATCTAGGATTTCATTCTCCCTAACCAGGGGAAATGAGAGCACCACAGGACACTCTGGGGTAATCTACCAGCCTGGGGGTGAGATCACCCTTGACACCTTTTGCAGTTGGCACCCTGGCTCCCACCTTGCTTCTGAATTAAGACTGTGGTTCATAGAACCATCTTCAGTGCCTAGTCCACAGAAAGAAGCAATACACACATAATTCCCCAGAATGTACTAGTTTGGCACTTGCCATGCAGTACACAGCATAGGTAAAAGGACTATAAATTGGCTCCACAGAGCCCTATGTTCCTGAGTACAAGGTCTGATAGGTGGTGAGAGCAAAATGGTAGGTCAGAGAGTCCAGGACTGTGACACAACCAAATGAGACAAGGCAGCAGGCACAACCAAAGCAGTAGGTACAAATCTGCAGGTACCTGGGTGAGTCCTCCCAAGTAAAAGCAGAAGCCCAACCTGCTACCAGGGCTTGTGGGATGGACACAAAGACAAGCAACATAAGATACCTGGCTCCACTGGAAGTGGACGGTCCAGAGGGCAGGAGCTGTGGTCCCAGGTGGGACAAGCTGGAGCGAAAGAGGGGCTGGTTCCCTAGGGCAGGAGGGGCCCCACCCCAGGGGTTGGTGACGTTGAGCCTGGGTGCAGATCTGGACCCAGAAAGTGAAGGTTTGTTGTATGGGGCAAAGGCCTGGTGGGCCCCAAAGACGATGGCAGTCCTGTGGGAGGCCTGGGGGATGGGGTATGCAGGGAGGTTGGTCATGGAGTGGCGGTAGCGGCCTGACACAGGGCCAGTTCCGCTGCCATGGAGGCACTGTTGGCAAGAGCAGGCAACTCCCATATGGCCTGGTGGAGCAATGACGCTGGTCACTGGGTAAGGTGGCCCTACTTGGCGCCGCACGTTCCGGCAAAAGCTGGAAGTCTTGTTGGTTTGCGTGTGGGTGGCATAGTTGACAGTGTAGTTGTACCCCAGGGGAGCCAAGTCCACAAGCTGGATGCCCCTGACCATCTGCTGCTCCAGATAGTCACAGACACTGGCTTCATAGGCCGTCCAAGAACCGTCATCGCCCAGCCACTCCCAGGTGATACCCCGGCCTGGGGCTGAATGCTGTGGGAACAGGTGTCTGCGTACTGCCCGCATGGTACCTGTTTAAAAAGAGCAGCACATATAAATAAATTGAGCCAGGGATTTACCTTAGTGGTTCTGCTGTCTGCCACGCAAGTGCAAGGGCCTGAGTTCAATCTCGGTACCAAAAAAAAAAAAAAAAAAAAAA